GCTATGTTCTGGAATAATTTGAGTAGAATTGGTGACAGCTCTTCCCTGAATGTTTGGTAGAACTCACCAATGAAGCCATCTAGGCCTGGACTTTTTTTGGTTGGGAGTCTGTCGATGACCTGACCAATTTCTTCTTTTGTTATGGGTCTGTTCAGGTTTTCTACTTTACTCTGTGTAAGTTTAGGTAGGCTGTGTTTTTCTAAAAATGTATCCATCTCTTCTAAGTTTTCCAATTTTTTGAAGTGCAACTCTTCATTCTGTTATTATCCTTTTGATTTCCTTTGGTTCCGTTGTGACATCGCCCATGTGGTTTCTAATGCGTGTTATTTGTGTCTTCTCCCTCTTTTTTTTGGTTAGGTTTGCCAATGGTCTGTCAATTTTGTTAATCCTTTCAAAGAAACAGCTTCTTCTCCTGTTGATTCTTTCTATAGTTTTTCTGTTTTGTATCTCATTTATTTCTGCTCTAATCTTTATTATTTCTTTTCTTTTCGTGGCTGTAGGTTCCTTCTGTTGGTCTCTTTCTAATTGTTGTGGATGCTGTGCTAATGTGTTAATTTTGGTTCTTTCTTCTTTTTTGGATGTGTGCGTTTATTGCAATAAATTGTCCTCTCAGCACTGCTTTCACTGTGTCCCAAAGATTTTGGACCACAATAGACCTGCCTCTCGATTAGCAGCAAAAGACACAGGAACGGAAAAGGGCACTGTTGTGTGGAGGGAGGGCTGATGAGGGAGCTGGAAAAGGACAGCACCACAGACTAAATCTATAGCTGCTGTCAAGTTGGTTCCAACTCATAGTTTCTGAGGAGCAGCTGGTCAGTTTGAACCACCGACCTTGTGGTTTAGTGGTCTTAGTGCTTATCCTACAGAGCCACAGCAGATTATAGTAAATCTCAGAAGGAAAGGAAGGCATAAAAGGTGTCGCCTCTCTGGCTCAGGTGGTTCCAGGAGGCTTCTTTGAAAGGACAGCATTTTAGTTGGGTCCTGGAGGGAGCAAAGAAGGGACCCACCAGGAAATGGGGAAGGCAGTGTGAGGAATACTTAAGGAACTGAGAAATCTGTGTGTCTGCAGAGAGACCGGGAGGAAGACAGGAAGCTGGGGAGAAAGGGGCAAACAGGAGCACTTTCTTACATTCCATTCCAAGTGATTAGGGAGCCATTGGGAAGCGTTAAGCAGGGAGCACATAGGCTCCAACTTCTTTCCCAAAGATGCTGGTGCTGCGGAGGGAGTGAGAATGAATACCGAGAGATCATTTATCACCAGGCAAGAGGAAGTAAGGGTGGAGCTGAACTGCTGGCAATGGGTGAAATCAAGCTGTGTGTTTTAGAGAGGACTGCCTCGCTGGAAGAAGAATCTAACAGCTGGGATAAGGGAGACAGAGTTACTGAATGTTTCTTGATTGAGCAACTGCAGGGATGGGTATGATGAGACTGAGAGGAACCATCTAGTGGTAAGGTCTGAAATATCCAGGAAACTTCCTAGAGAAGATGGCATGGTGTCTAGTACTCAGAGCCAGGTCTGGGTGGGTTGTAAGGGATGGGACTAGAGACTGAGCCCACCCAGTACAAGCGCTCCCTCCATCCCTCTGAGCATCATGAGGTTGGCCCCATGGCAACAACAAGCTTTCTCTTCAGTGGACTTCAGGTTTGGCAGGAAGGGGAACGATCACAAGAGGACAAAGCTGTCCAAAGCTTTTGAGTGTGTTTTGGGAAAACCCTGCTGTCTTTTTCATTCTTGCCCTCCACATTACACTGAGCATTTCAGCTGAACATGATTCCCCTTGGCTTCCTGCCCCAGGACAACAAGATTCCAGAAGGGCAGGTCCTGTTTTGCTCCCTGGTGACTGGGCCAGGACCGAGTGGAGTGAATCAGATTGTTGGTGGTGCCTGGAAAGCTTCCGATTTCAGGAGGCTGAAGAGATGGCAGGGTTTGTTCTTGGAAGCTGACCACTTCCCCTGGTGGTGCCTCTTCCTTTGGGGACATTTCTGTGTTAGCATCTGGCTTTCTTTCTTTTACGTAAAGGCAGGGAGAAGTTGACAGGAAAAGAAGGGAGAAGCAAGGCTTCTGCTTGGCTGTGCAGCCACAGGGTTGCAACTACCCCACTGGCTGCCTTTTTTCCAATTTGCAAGAAGCTCTGTGTGGGGTGTGAGGCCATAGGTAGAGCTAGGACAGTGGTCACTTTGGTGGAAATGGAGAGTTCCTAGAGAACCCAAGTTGTGTTCTCCGGACCCAGGCTCCTCCTTGGCAGCTGGGGGGGATGTGGTCAGGAGACCTCAGCTTCCCATGTGCTCCCCTTGCCTTACTATGTGGGATGTGGGTGTTGCTAAGTGAGGAAAGGTCTCTGTACGTTCAAGGCCAGTAATGAGTAAACTTGACCTAGCTTTGACCATCCCTGTTCCCTGCCTTGCAGGTGCGTGCCCCCGCCTCCACAGCTGGGTGGGCGCCATGTCCAGCTCTACTCCTTATTGGCGGCAGACCAAGGGGTCATTTGGGGTGGGGGAAGGGCAGGAAGGAAATTGTTAAACTCCGGTTTTCTGCATGTTTGCCCTGAGGTTGCTTACTGGGAAAACCCCATGACGTTGGAGCCATTTCTTTCTCTGTTAACACAGAGAAAAACAGAAGCTAAAATAAAGCTCCATCCGGAAACATCCCTGACAGCAGACACAAACAGCCTGCTGGCCTGGTTTAGTCATTAGCAGGCAGCTGCTGCCAGCGAGTAATAAGAGGAGGGGGTAGGTTGGTAAGTTGCACGTACACGTGTGTGTGAGAAGATTTCCCCCCCCTCCCCCGCCCCCCAAATGCACAGCAGCAGAGCACACTGGGGGCTGCTGAGTACCTGCTGGGAGTTTGGTCTCTAGCAGCTTACCTGAGAGTTAGAAATCACTTACTTCTCTGGTGGATTCGTTGAGTCTGGAGGGACACGTGAGCCTGGTGTGGTTCCTCAGGCCCATAAAGTATTAGAGTATCCCTTACAGGCCACCCCTCATGTGCTTGGGACCCCAGACTTGGTTGGCCCTCAGTCTTTTAGACCCAGTCTTCCCCCCACCCCCACCCCATCATTGTGAGGTTGGACCAGTAGCGTCTTCCATATACCCTGCAGCCTGCTCGGGCTGGAGGTGGGCCCTTGTGGGGATGGGCAGGGGAGCCCCACACATGTTCCTGCTTCAGTAGCGACTGACCTGGTGCTCGGTCCCTTTTCCAGCTCTGGAAATGAAGGGCACAGAGACGGTGTACAGTGAAATCCGGAAAGCTGACCCTGGTGAGTGAAGCTCCCTAACTCGCCCTACCTGCAGGGGGTGTGTGTCTCCCAAATCAACCAACAGTGGGTGTTGGGAGTAGGCAGGGCCAAAAGAGAGCCCCAACCACCTCTGACCTTGAGTTGTTGAGAAGCGTCAGGTCACCTAATGCTTACTGAGTGATGAAAAAGTGTTACATTCCCACAGCACTCTCTACTTACCCGAGTTCAATAATCCACAGCAATGGCCACACAGAACTCAGACACGGTACTTATTAGGAAGTGGGCAGTGGGCAGCTTACAATTCGGGGTGTGGAATGCCTAGGGCAGTCCTTCCAGCCAGGACAGCCTCTCCTCAGCAGGACCCACAGGCAGGCCTCTCTCCACTCAGGCAATGTTGCAACATTCTTTTCGTTTTTGTTGTTGTTAGGTGCCATCGAGTTGGTTCTGACTCATAGTGACCTTATGCACAACAGACCACAATAGCACCCAGTCCTGAACCCTCCTCACAAGCTCTTAAGGCTGAGTTCATTATTGCTCCCACTGTGTCAGTCCATCTCGTTGGGGGTCTTCATCGTTTTCACTGCTCCTCAACTTTTCCAAGCAGGATGTTCTTTCTTTTCTAGAGACAGGTCTCTCCTAATAGTGTGTTCAAAGTATGAGAAACAAAGTCTTCCCGTCCTCGGTTCTAAGGAACATTCTGATTATACTTCTGTTAAAAAACACAACAGAGTGGAAGTGTAGAGAATAAATCCGTTTCCATTCTACAATTCATACACATTTCCTCCCTTGCCTTCCACCCCGGTAACCATCATAGAATGGTTCTTTTATTAAGAAAACCTTTTCTTAGCTTTTGACAAACAATGTTTATTCTTTTGTGATTGATTTCACTCAGTGTAATGTCCTTCGGGTTCATCCATGTTATGAGGTGTTTCACAGATTCATCACTATTCTCCAACATTGTGTAGTATTCTACTGTATATCAAAGTTCAACATTCTTGTGTTGATGGGTACTTAGGCTGTCTCCCTCATTTTGCTATTGTGACTAGTGTGCTGCAGTGAACATGGATGTGGATATACCTACTTATGTCATGGCTCTTATGTCTTAAGGCTATCTACCAAGTAGAGAGACTATGAGGTGATACAGTATTTCTGTTTCCTTTTTGGGAAAGTGCCACACCATTTCCCACAATGTTTGCACCATTTTACAGTCCCACCAGCAGTGTAGGAGGGTCCCAGTCTCTCCACACTCTCACCAGTATTTGTTGTTTTCTGTTTTTTTAAAAAAAAACTTTGCTATTAATACTGGAAGGTGCTCTGGTAGCGTAGTGGTTATGAATCGGGCTACGAACCTCAAGGTTGGGAGTTCGAAACTACCAGCGATTCTGCAGGGGAAAAATGAGGCAGGTCTGCTCCTGTAAAAAAGTTACAGCCCCGGAAACCCTGTACAGGGTCGCTATGGGTCGGAATCGACTCGACAGCACTTAACAACAACAACAACAATTAATACTGGGGTAAGGAGCTCTGGTAGCGTAGTGGTTACAAATCAGGCTGCTAACCTCAGGGTCAGCAGTTCTAAACTACCAGCTGTTCTATGGGAGAAAGATGAGACTTTCTGCTCCCGTAAAGAATTACAGCCTTGGAAACCCTGTGCAGGGTCACTATGAGTTGAAACCAACTCCACGGCACATAACAACAACAACAACAATGGCTAATGATCTCGAGCATTTCTTCATGTTTGTTGGCTGGCCACCTGAATCTCTTCTTTGATGAGGTGTCTGCTCATGTCTTCTACCCATTCTTTAATTGTATTATTTGTTGTCTTCTTGTAGAGGTGTCTGACTGTATTTCTTCCAAGACAGATTTGTTTTATTCTTCTGGCTGTCCATGGTACTTTTCTCTTTTTTCAACTTTTATTGTGAATTGAGTGAAAGTTTACAGAACAGATCATCACCCCCATATCCAACAAATCATACACTGAGTGTCATTACAATGATTGCAATCCCATCTATGGACGTGGTACTTTCAATATTCTTCTACAGCACTGATAACTGTTGATAAATTGGATGCTGATAAATGCCCTCTGAGCTGCTGATAAGTGATCACAGGGCACACTACTCCATCATAAGATAAGCCTCAGCCTGAAGGCACTTGGCTCTAGCTCTCTAGCTCCCCGACTCTGCCAGCAAGCCTCCTGCCCAAAGTCTCTCAGCTTTACTTGCTCCGTGGGCTGTGAAGCCCAGCTCTCGGTCTTGGGCTCTGGCTGCTGCTCCTCTGCCACTCCTTTGGTGTCACATCTGGGTCCCTGGGTCGAGGATGTTCTATACCCAGGGATGTCGAGGTCAAAATGATGTGCTCCACTACTGGCTCTTCTTAAAGGTAGTACATTTCCCTTCTTGCTTCTGAGATGACTCATTTTATACCCAGCAGGATGGCAAAATTGACCAAACACAGTGAGCCCCATTAACAATCACTCACAACTGAATTATATAATCCAGCAATGTCTTTCCCTCACCTCCTCACCCAGACCCAGATCCATCAGGAAAAAGCTGTTTGGTGGGAGTTTGCAGCCTATGGCTAGAGGAGACATTAAGTAATTTACTATACCACAGTGCCTATTCCATGCCAGGCAAGCAGAACTTCATAAATTTGCTCCCAACTAGTGGGAAATTTCTCATCACTCAGGTCAGTAGGACTGGAAGGTTTTGGCACCACTGTGTGCTTATGGGAGGCACTCTCATACCCACCCCCACCAAGACACAGAATTGCCCACCTGGGACCTGCTAACTTGGACGCCAAGGGCTTAGAGATAGTGAAGTGCTTGGCTCTGAAGATATTCGGTAGTTACAGCCTTTCCAAGAGAAGACTGCTTTGGGTGGGGTGGGGTGGGGTGGGGGTGAGAATATGACATCGTTCCAATTTGTAGCCTTTCATTTCTACCCAGACCCAACTTCCGTCTCCATCATTCCATGTTTTCTCATTGAAGAGCTGCCCCAGGGGACTGACCACAGTGCCCAGGCAGACATGGAACTGGTGGTGCACCCAACAATGTCAGTTTTTGTAGCACTAGTGCATTTAATTTTGTTGAAATGAACCCACAAAGACTACTTTAAAATTCTGAAAATAAGTCAGTGATCCAAACACTGGATCCAAACAAAGGAGTAAACACTTTGGCAGAAATAGTAGCTTTGTGAATATCTTAGTACAATAAGATACAGTTAAGTGCCGTCAATTCGGTTCTGACTCACACCGACCCTGTATAGGGTTTCCAAGGCTTTAAATCTTTGCGGATGAGAGAAAGCTCTCCTGTGGGACAGCTAGAGTCCTCAAATCACTGACCTTGTGGTTCGCAGTCCGGTGCTTATCCTGTGGAGCCACCGCGTTCCCAATAAACACAGTAGTAGACCTATTCCAGTGATTCTTGGAAAGGGACCATTAAAACAGGCTGGGAAACTTCCACGGAGCTTGTTACTCCCTGGGGCCCAAAGACTGGCAACGGCAGTGGTCTCAGACCCCCTATGCCCACAGTGAGAATCTCCAGAATCTGAGCTGTGCTACCAGGTTCCCAGGTGACTCTGATGCCCACTAATGTTGGAAAAGCTGGGTAGCACAAGTGTTTGTGATCTGCAGTTAAACTAAAGGTTGGCAGTTCAAACCCACCCAGTGGCTTCATACAGGAAAACCTGGCAGTCTGTTTCCCTGAAGATTACAGCCAAATCTCTTCTGTTGCATGTTGATTTTGTTCCTCCCTACTTGCTAATGCTCTTTAGGTTTGGCGTATCCTTTCCTTTGTTCTAGAAGCTGCTTGTAGTGTTCTACATGATTAGCTCATTTAATTCCCCAAACAACCCTCTGATGGGGACTCTATCATTATTTCTGCTAAACAGGTGGGGAAGTGAGGTACAGAAGTCAAATCGCTTGTCTGTTCCTCAAGGTCACTTTAAGGGGCAGAACAGGGGTCTGGATCGGGGTCTCTGGCATGCATCTGTCTGCCTCGACATTTTCCATCTGTCTTGGTTTGGTTTCCATGTTGTCATCAGTTTAATTAGAGAAGTCAACTTTGGGAACTAAGAGTGACAAGTGACTGATCTGGGTGGTGGTGGGTGTTGCTGTATACTGTCAGTCAGTTCTAACCCATAGCGACCCAGTGTAGTGTTTCCAAGGCTGTAAATCATTACAGGAGCAGAAAGCCTTGTGGTTCACAGTCTAGTTGTGGTCCGGGGGACCCTGTAAATCATGGCACCTGTGGGACCTTTTGTCTCAGAAATCCTAGGCAGGTCTCTCAGGACTGGGTGGCTGGGATCACCCAGACATGCTGTGTGTGCATATGCCTGGGGCGGGTTAGAGAGGGGGCACATAGGCAAGGGAGCAGGCTGGGTATGCAGTGGGGTCTTGTCGGACCTTCCTTCTCCCCACCTTCCTTTCTCAGTTCCCTACCACTTTCCAGCAGGCAGCTCTTCAGGGCTATTTGGGGAAATAACCTCACAGGGTATGATTGTAGCTCTTACAAAGGAACACTGCTCCCCTCAATAAGGAAAAGGGCATCCATCGGCAAGCCTGGTTCAAGGAGCAACCCTAGGACAGTGGGAGCGGACGGGGCTCTGGTAGGGCCTGGACCCTGGAGCCATGGTTGGGGGCCTATCGACTGGGGCAGCAAGAGGCCCCTTATGGGAGTTGATCAGTGGTGGGAGGAATCTGTCTTCTGGGTCTTTGCCTTCTTGGCTTTAGATTGGAAGCTCTCTTTTTGTATCTGTTAAATGAGTACTTTCCCTTCCAACCATAACACAGAGAGAGTCTCAACATCCTTGCCTTTGAAAGTGAAAGTCAGCTGTCTGCGCCTTGGTCACTCCAGACCTACCCCTCTGCACATGTTGGAGGTTGGCGCCCTGAATTTGCTCCCTAATCTCTTTCAGTCAAACTGAATTCTGTACACACCTCACTTCCCCCTCAACTACAAGACCCCATAGGGTTTTTTTGCTCCTAACCCCGACCGAGATGTCCCTTCCAATCTGAGTCAGGTTGTG